CCCCCAATACGCTTCCCACCTCAGGGCCTTCATGCTTGTTCTCTCTGCTTAGAATACTGTGCCTCTGGGCCTAGATCTTTGCATTTGATAAAATCCAATTTATTTTTTCTTTTGTTGCTTGTGTTTTTGGTGTTTAAGAAACCATTGCCTAATCCAAGATCCTGGATTAGGTCATGATTACTCCTGTTTTCTTCTAATAGTTTTATTATTTTTATTGTTACATTTAGGTTGTTGATCCATTTTGAGTTAATTTTTTTAATATTGTGTGAGGTAAGGGTTCAACTTCGTTGTTTTCTATCATGATATCCATTTGGGGTGTCCAGCACCATTACTTGAAAAGACTATTCTTTCCCCTGTTGAATTATCTTGTCATCCTTGCTGAAAATCAGTTGACAGTAAAAGTGAAGGTTTATTTCTCAATTCTAGTCCACTTATTTATCTATTCTTATGTCAGTACCACGCAATATTGATTGCTACAGCTTTGTAGCAAGTTTTGAAATCAGGTAGTGTGAATCTCTGAACTGTCTTTTTCTTTTTCAAGACTGTTTTAGCTATTCTGGATCCTTTGAATTTCCTATGAATTTTAGGATCAGCTTCAGTTACTGCAAAGAAGCCAGCTGGATTTTTGATGGAGATTGTGGTGAATCTGTACATCAATATGCAACATGGGGAGTATTGCCATCTTAATATTAAGTGTTCCGGTACATGAAAATGGGATGGCTTTCCATTTAACGTTTTCTTTAATTTCTTTCAACAATGTTTTGTAGCTTTCAGAGTATAAGTTTTGTACTTCTTTTGTTAAATGTATTCTGAATATTTTATTATTTTTGATGCTGTTATATATGGAATTTTAAAAATTTTATTTTCAGGGTCCGGCCTGGTGGTGCAGCAGTGAAGTTTGCATGTTTTGCTTCAGTGGCCTGGAGTTCACTGGTTTGGATCCTGGCTGCAGACCTAGGCGCTGCTTGTCAAGCCATGCTGTGGCAGGCGTTGCACACGTAGAGGAAGATGGGCAGTAGAGGAAGATGTTAGTTAGCTCAGGGCCAAGCTTCCTCAGCAAAAAGAGGAGGATTGATGGCAGATGTTAGCTTAGGGCTAATCTTAAAAAAAATTTTTTTTTTTATTTTCAGATTGTTCATTGCAAGTGTATTGAATACAATTGATTTGTGTATATTGGTCTTGGTTTCTGCCACCTTTTTTGAACTGTTTATTAGTTCTAGTAGGTTTTAGTGAGTTCCTTAGAATTTCCTACATTTAAGATCATGCCATCTGCATATAGAGTTAATTTTACTTATTCCTAGATGACCTTTTTTTTGGCCTAAATGCCTTGGCTAGAACCTCTAGTACAATGTTGAATAGAAATGGTGAGAGCAGATTTCCTTGTTGTGTTCCTAATCTTAAAGGGAAAGCATTAAGTCTTTCACCATTAAGAATCATGTTAACTGTGGGTATGTTGTGTCTTCATTTTCATTAATCTCCAAGTGTTTTCTTATTTCCCTTATCAAGCTGAGGAAGTTCCCTTCTATTTCTAGTTTGCTGATTGTTTTTATCTTGAAGGGATGTTGGATTTTGTTAAGTGCTTTTTCTGTGTGTATTGAGACCATCATGTGATTTTTGTCCTTTATTCTATTGACAATAGGGATTGATTTTCAAATTCTAAACCAACCTTGCATTCCTGGGATAAGTCTCAGGTCATGTTCATGGTGTATAATCCTTTTTATATTTTGCTTTGCTAGTATTTTGTTGAGGATTTTTGCATCTATAGTCATAAGAGATATTTAGTCTGTAGTTTTCTTTTTTTGTGAGGTCTCTGGTTTTGTCATCAAGGTAATCCTAGTCTCAGAATGAGTTGGGAAGTGGACCCTCCTATTCTTTGGAAAAATTAGTGAAGAACTAGTATTAATTATTATTTTTAATGTTTAGTAGAATTCACCATTGAAGTCATCAAGCCTGGGCCTTGTAGATAATTTTTTGATTACTAAATTGATCTTTTCACCAGTTATAGGTCTATTCAGATTTCCTGTTTCTTGAGTCAGTGTCAGTAGTTTGTGTCCCTCTGGGAACTTTTACATTTCATGTATTACTTAATTTGTTGGTATATAGTATTTCCTTATAATCCTCTTTATTTCTGTAATGTCAGTAATAATGTCTCCTCTTTCATCAGTGATTTTAATAATTTGAGTCCTCTCTCTTTTCTTGGTTAATCTAGCTACAAGTTTGCCACTTTTGTCGATATTTTCAAAGAATCAACTTTTGGTTGGTTGTTGATGTTGTCTTATTGTTTGTCTCTTCTCCATGTCACTAATTTCCACTCTAATCTGTTATTTCCGTCCTACTTGCTTTGGGTTTATTTTGCTCTTTTTCTTCTAGTGTCTTTAGGTGGTAGTTTAGGTTATTGATTTGAAATCTTTCTTTTTTTAATATGTGCATTTACAGCTATAAATTTCCTTCTAAGCACTGCTTTAGTTGTATCCTATAAGTTTTGGTACGTTGTGTCTTCATTTTCAGTCATCTTAAAGTATTCTAATTTCCCTTGTGGTTTCTTTTGTAACCCATTGGTTATTTAGAAGTTTGTTGTTTCATTTCCACACATATTTGTGAATTTCCCATATTTTGTTCTCTTATTGATTTCTAATTTTATGTGGTTGGATAACATACTTTATTTGATTTCAATCATTTTAAGCTTTTTTTGAAGCCTGTTTTATGGCCTAGCATATGTCTACCCTCAGAAATGTTCCATTTGCACTTGAGAAGAATATGTATTCCGCTGTTAAAAACTCTGGGTCCCCAGGGGTCAGCAGATGCTCCTTAGGCCACCACTGGCTCCCACATTTGATTATATCTTTGATTTTCTGCATTTGTTTTTGTTTTGGCGCTCTAAGGATTCCCCTTATTTTATTGCCAGATCAACAATTCACTTAAAAAGATGTTTTTCATGTTTAATCCAGTAAAAAAAGATTTTTATAATGGGACGTTTACTCAAGATGTCTTGTTCCAACATATTGTGGAAATAAGTTCTGTTATACTATCCTTATTGCCCCCATCTTTGAAAATCATTTATCTCTTTAAAGAAACACAATTCGGGGCCGGCCCCGTGGCTGAGTGGTTAAGTTTGTGTGCTTCGCTGTGGCGGCCCAGAGTTTCACTGGTTCAGATCCTGGGCGTGGACGTGGCACCGCTCGTCAGGCCACATTGAGGTGGCATCCCACATGCCACAACTAGAAGGACCTGCAACTAAGATATACACCTATGTACCGGGGTGATTTGGGGAGATAAAGCAGGGGGAAAGAAGAAAAGATTGGCAACAGTTGTTAGCTCAGGTGCCAATCTTTAAAAAAAAAAGAAAGAAAGAAAGACAATCCCACTCTTGTGATTGGTGCCTGAGTGTTCAATAGGGATATTCTGTTTTGGATGGTGATTTGATGGATAGGTACCCCGATAGCACCTGGGAATAAATTCAACAAGAAACATGTAGGACCTATGCAAGGAAAACTTTCCTGAAAGAGATCAAGGAAAACAAATAAATGGTGACGTATATCATTTTTCCTTGACAGAAAGACCGAATGTAGCAAATAGGCTACCTAATTTTTCCTAACTAGTAAAGAAGTTTAATGCCATTCCAATAAAGGTTCCAACAGATTTAAATTAATTTCTAGGGAATTTAAATGGATTTGTAGGATATCAGCTGTGAGGATAAACAAAAAAGATAGTAAGTTTTCTAAAAATATTAATAAGGAGAGACTAGCCCTCTAAGATATTAAAGCAAATTAAATCTGTGTTAACACTGTTACATAAATATATAGGCAGGCAATAAATGCCTTGAAACAGATACTTATCTGAGCATAACTTGGGATACCAGAAGTTCACTTAAATCCACTTAATTCAGGGACCGAATCTTCATAATAGTTTCACTTGAACTTTAACTTGAAAGTTTTTGCTAAAATTACAAAAATAAACTTATTTTTCATATAACAAAATTAACTTATATTTTAACTCTTAGAAATAATTTTTTTTGCCACTTTTTCCATGACAAAATTATTTGCAACATGAAATGATAATTTTCAGTTCATGTTTGATTTCTGCTTCATAGTCGAATTATTTTACAAAAATTTCCTAGATTTCATCCATTTTTGTCAGGGTGTCTCTCTAGCCAAATCATTCCTTTATGCACTTCTTGTGTCATTGTCCTTTTGTGCTTGGCAATTGTCCTTTCATTGCTAACTGGACTAATACATTCTGTGGCTATGCTTGTGATTTGAATAGTTCTCCATCATCGTTATCAGCTTCATAAAGTCCTACATATTGTGTGACACTTGTTCACTTGTGGATTTTCATTGCACTTGCATTGTGTTTTTGAATGACAATCTGCAAGACACTGGCAAACACAAACATTAGCATAGATGGTACTGTGAAGCATTTGAGGAGGCACTGACTTTTTAAAGAGCACTTTTGTAAGAGTATTTGTTATGATTTAACATAACAAGTTATATGGTTAAGGAATACTTGAATTATGAGGACAGCGTATATAAGAATTCAGTATATGATAAAAGCTTTAAAATTAGTGGGAAAAGGGGATCATTCCATAAAAGTTTAAAAAGATTAAGAGAAAAAGTTAGAGCCCTAATGTAAGTAGTGCCAGAGCTTATGGCTCCTGCAACTTTGTCTCCTTAGAGGAGGCACAGACCCTTTGGCTTGTGGTAACTTAGACAATTTAATGATTAGATACTTCCACACTGTGAGAGTCAGTCAGTTTCCTCTTACTAACTTGACCGAGAGGAGGTATCTTTCACAAAGATTTCATACGTCCCATAACGCACACGTTCAGTTGTGGGGTTTTGGGGTTTTTTTTTGAGGAAGATTAGCTCTGAGCTAACTGCTGCCAATCTTCCTCTTTTCGCTGAGGAAGACTGGCCCTGAGCTAACATCCGTGCCCATCTTCCTCTACTTTTATATGTGGGATGCCTACCACAGCATGGCATGCCAAGTGGTGCCATGTCCGCATCCGGGATCTGAACCAGCAAACCCCGGGCCGCCGAGAAGCGGAACGTGTGCACTTAACCGCTGTGCCACCGGGCCGGCCCTCAGTTGTGTTCTTGAAGTTCAGTCTCCTCTCCTTACCACAGCAAGCTCCAGGACAAAGGGCAGGAGGATGGTTCTCAGATGCTTATTTTGTTCAGGGCCCCTCTTTGTATTTAACAGTCACAGTTGGGCTTCTCTACATCACTGCCAGCATCTGATTCATAGAACCCAGGTCACATGTCAGCGGAAAAGAGATCCTGTCAGAGGAACATGATCGGTATCAGAGCCGTTCTGGGACAGAACTTCCCAACTAGTGCTCCACAAAGGCTCTTACAGATGTACTGAGAAAGGAGCCTTTGGAGTGGTAAGAGGACCTGGAGTGAAGAGCCCAGGGCCTAGTGACCTCTGGCAGGCTGCTAAGCACACTTGCCTTTTAACCAGCACACTCTACAATGATTATCCTTTTCTGTCAAGGACAGGAAGTAGAAAAGGATGGGGGAGTGTTGTTCTAAGCAATTAGCTGGAAACAATGAGAACATGAATAATATCCTGGGAACATAGAGTCGTTTGTTTTAGGGAAGAGAATAGCAGATTGTAGTGGAGAATGGATACCCTGATAAATTCCAGGAATTTAGGAGGAATAAAGAGAAATAATCATAAAATAACTAAAAGGAAAATCAGAGGAAAAGATTTGATGGAGGGTTAAGCACAGAATCAAATCATAAAGAAAAATGCTACATGCTCGTTATATTAAAATAAAAATCGGGCATCCAGAAATTCTAAGATCAAATTAAAAGACAAGGAAATGGAAAGATATTAGCAAATAAGATTTGCAGTAGTACTCTGCAAGTAAAAATTATTCTAACATAAAAAGACGAACATCTCAATAGAAAAATAGTCAAATGATATCAGGAAATGATCTACAAATGAGGAGCTTCAAATGCTCAACAAATACATGAAACATTCAGCCACAGAGATAAATGCAAAATAGTCAACAATTGAGAAAGTTTTTTGACATAAGAAATTTGACAGATTTTACTTAAGTTTAGGGAAAATAGGCCCCTTACATAAATGCTGGTATTTTGTGTAAAGTGATGAGCATTTCTGTAGGTCAATTTGACAGTACGTAAATGTTTTTATCTTCATACCCTTTGACCTTATATTTTAATTTTTAGGAATTTATTCTGAAGAAATTATCAGAGACAACATGAGGATGTATGAAAATGACGTTCATTACAGCTTTTTACTGTGATAAAAATTAGAAACAACTGAAATCTACACAAATGAGAATAAATAAATAATGGATTATAGATTGTCATATGATGGAATCATGGGCAATCATTAAAATAATGTCTTTGAAGAATATTTAAGATGAGGAAAATATGTGCTGCTTAAATTGCATATACATTGTTTTAAATATACTATATTTCATTTAAGATATTGTTAGTTGGAAGAGACACCACTTTTTCTGGTACTAAGAAAGACAGCCACCACCACAGAAATCACACCCCAGGATGTGGATGCTGATCAAAGACCCTGGCATAAAGCTAAACCTCGGAGTCAGAGGAAAGGAGAACTAGACTTGTCTCTGGAATCCGGCAGCAGAGAAACCAGCTGGTCCTCATTCAGATTATAGTTTCAGTTCCTAGCACTGAAGCCGGGTACTTGAGGGTTACTGTACTCAATAAGAACATGATTGCCTTTTGACCTTGTTCCAAACATAGACATGGATGACTCTTGTCAATTTGCTGTTTTCTTGTTAACTTGAGAGGTGACTTGGGTCTCAAGGATTTGTTTCTTTTGCAGAAGAGAATGCCTTTGGTGGAGGTCATGATCACCAGATGGCTGGCCCTCAGTTGTCGTTGACACCCAGAAGTCAGATTGCCCAGACACTTATCTGGAGTATCCCCTTTGATTCTCCGAAGCTCCTCTTGCCAAGCCCCTTAGCTCTATAACCACCCCCCCACCCCACCCCACCCCCCCGCTTTTTGCTCTGGTTAAGACAGCTTTGAGCAAACCCATGCTCCCACCTTCTCATCTTGGCCAACTTGTATGGGGCCTTTGTCCATCTCCAAGCACTGTCGTCTCAGTGTTTGGCTTGCCACACATTGGGCACCCAAACTTGAGATTAAGAGGTTCGGTATCACCGCCAGCCTGGCCTGGTCCAAAAAGCTTCAAGCAAAGGGAATTTAAAATGTTCACAGTTGGTAGTTCCCCCCCAGACAGAAGAAACATCAGTCCTCTGGCAGAAATGGGATTTAATACAGGGAGACAGCAATTCTATTTTTATAACTTTGACAGTGATTCTTTTAGGACATCATTGATTCTAAAATGAATTTCTATATCAGAGTGGTTGAAAGTGAAAAATTGTGTGTCTAGAGTGAAAGGAGTATGTTATATACATACAATTGGAGGGAAATACTGAGATTTAGCAGTGAAGTTCAATCTGTTGGAATACGTATGTATTTTGCAAAATTTCTCCATGAGTATTTGTTATTGTATTCAAATATTTACTTTGATTATAATTCCCATAATTCTCTCCATTTTCTTCATTTGCTCTTCTCTACTAGTATATTTTGAATACTACCAACCTTTGGTGATGAAGCTCGGACATTTTAGACTTTTTATAATTTCAGCACTGTGGAAAAGAGCTATGTTTAGTTTGGCTGCAGAATTGTGGGTTGTTCCTATTATGAAAGGTCTTCATTGAGACCTGCATTGAGAGAGGGGGACAAAGGAGGAGTGGTTAAGAGCACAGTCTCTGGAGTGAGACCCAGGCTCAGATTTCAGCTTTTACACATTCTGGTCAAGTGACCTTAGGCAAGTTATTTAAGTAGTCTAAGACTCAGTTTCCTCATTTTTAAAACAATGGTAATTGTGCAGTTGAGAGAATTAAATGAAATAATATAAAATGCCCGTCATATAATATCCCTGTTGCCATTTCTCAATCAGGCTGTGTGAGACCAACTGCTTGATAACATGGTTTATTTTGAACGTTCCTTCGCTGTTCTTCATTGGAGTCCCCTTAACGATGCTCATGCATAAGAGAGACATTTACAAAACTATAATCTTTTCAGTGCTTCCTTTTTTAAATGACATATTCCCTATTCTAGCAAATAGAAAAAGGGGTGCACTCTTGAAGAGCATAACCTTGATGCAGAAACCAAACAAAGGGAAAATTTATAGGCCAATCTCACTGAATAAAGATACAAAAATCCCAAACAAACCAAAATGGTCAGCAAACCAAATCCTGCAACATAAATAGGAATTGCGCATCATGACCAAGTTGGATTTATTCCAGGAATGCAGGAGGGTTTGACATTAGAAAATGTATTTTGTCACATTAAAAAAAACCATGAAATAAATATGATCAACTCAGATTGATGCAGTAAAACCATCTGATAAAATTCAACATCTATATATCCTTTTGTAAAAAAGTAATTCTTAGCAAACTAGGAGGAGAAGGAAACTTGCTAAATCTGATAAAAGATAACAAAAATCTAAAGTAAGCAGCATATTCATGGTGAATTCTCTGGTATATCCCTATCAGGTGCAGTTTTGAATGCCCAGAAGTTTTGACATCTTCCTTTATTTCTACAAGTGGTGGTCATTCTGCATTATTAACTACGTTCGTTCTTTTGAAACTAATGTATTCTCCCTTTTTACTTGACTTTGAAACAGTATACCTTATCAGTCTCTCTTCTCTCCTAAATTAGTCATTTTATTGTTAGTTTTCCCCAACTGTTGTGTCCAAAAATTTTTCCTTTTTATGTTCACTGCTTCGGCTTCTAAAATGCAGAAAATCTATATGTAAGTTTATTTTTCTCAACGTAAATAACATTGAGATCAGATCCCAACTATGACAGGGTTCAGGAATTAACCATCCTTGGAACTAGGGTAATGTCACTCTTTACACTGGTGTCAGCCTGACTGGAATGGGCCAGTTGTGCTTCACCAGTGGAAGACATTACATCTTGAAGATGTCTACAGTCAGTCCGGTGCTATTAAAAATGTTCCTTAATGTGACTCTAAACATGTAGGCTGATATAATCTTTCAACTGTAGGCATCTTAGAAATTAATTTTATGTGATATATACCTGGTAATAATGAGGCTCTGTTGTATGGTATACATTCCTGGAAGATAACAGGAGCAATAGAGATGAGTGAGAAGCAGACAATGAGCAAGAGAGTCTGTTTCCATGAGCAGTTGTGTGGGTTGTTGAATCCTTACAGGCAAAGAGCTAGCCATGAACCTTGTTGATTGGCCACTCATTCTGTTATTTATCTTTATGAATTAGACATTGTTTCACATTTAAATAAACCGTATTTCAATATGTCACATTTAAATAAAACCACATTTTCAAAAATTAGAATGTATCATATCTAAATAAAACTCAAAATTATATTAAAAAATTACCATTTTCATTTTCCACTATGCTTTAATAACATGGAAAAATCAAAATTGCTTTTCTTGGTTTTCCCCGAGGACAGCTAAATATACTTAAAACACTTAGTTATAAAACAACCTTATCAAACATGGAGATTGGTGGAATAAAAATTGCCCCATGCAATTGAAATGTTTAGAGAAGTTTGCTATTTTCATTATATTCAGAAAAAATGTGTACTACAATAAAGTATATCATAATGTGTATCATATTCTAAGATTAGTACAGAAAATTCCTATTTACCTGGAGTAATTTTTAAAGATATGTCTGGATAAATTTAATATTCTAGTTACCTAAGAGTTATAACCTGATTCAAAAATAACCAATTTTCTAAGAATACAATAAAATATTCACAGTGCTAAAACTATGAGGAGCTTAATCTAGTCATTGATGACTCAGGAAGCAACTCAGAATCTTGCAGTGCCTCGTTTCATAGTAAACCTCACTTGTCAGAGAGTAAACTGAAAATTCGTGTTATTTGAATTTCCTGATTATTTGGATTATGAGTAAGCATGTATATTTTGTAAAGGCCATGAAAGCTGTGTCATATATTCTCTCATGTATTTTCCTATAATCTTTTCCACCCCTGTTAAGGGCATTATAGAAAAGAGAAGTTGAAACTTTTACTCTTCAGTTAGAAAGCAGACATGAAAATTACTCTGGTTACTCTAAACAAGAGTTTCTCAAAGCATGAGCTGCAGACCACCTGATTTAGAGTCATGTAGCGTACTTGTTAGAGAATCATCTAGGATACTTGTTAGAAATGCAGATTGCTGATTCTTTCACCAGACCCGTTGAATCACTGTATCTGGGAAAGACCCCAGGATAGTAACATGCTCTCCAGGTAGGTAATTCTGATAGTAGTTAAGTCTGAGACTCATCGCCAAATGGCTTCTGGATCTGAGAGATCAACCTAGGGAGAATTATCGGGGAGCACCAAAATAATTCCTCCTGTAAATGTTGATACAGAAAAAAAGTGAAAGATTGAAATGGGTGTGCTCCTTCCCACAGAGTACAACAACAGGAAATAGTATGTTCTGCTGTCAGACCAAAGGGATTTTAGAGGCAAAGGTGGAAGTAGTTCAGAGCTATTTCATTCATGTTTATAACATCGCTACTTACTTAATGTATAGAGTTTCCAATGTATTTTTCCTTATTGAGGTAAAGCAACATAAAATTAGCTGAGCATCATTAGATTCATTTAGGAAATGTTTTTATTGTTCTGATGCTTTATTTTTACTTCAAACACTATAATAAATGTCTCTTTAGTGTTTCCTTCCACTAAATATCTTGAGTTTTCAGAGCTTTGGTTGCGATATAGTTACATATTTTCATTAATGTGAGCCAATTTTACTTGTAGTTCCAACTCTGTCTGTTACCACCGGGAGCAGAATATGATGGTTTTTAGAAGGAACTAGCTTTTGGGTTTTTATTTCATTTTATGCCACTGTGGGAAGATAAGCGGCTGATAGTTTTATTTGGTCTATTAGTTTTCTCTCTGAGAGTTGAAAATACATAAATTCTTCCTTAGCCATCTCCCTCCTTTCCCCTTTAGCTGCCCTCCCTTCCCCCAGTTTAAAGGCTAGTCAACAGCATTTATTGAGCATTCATTACATTATGGGGAGTTGTAAAAGAAGAATCTTGCCTCCTTTTTTAATTTTTCCTTTTTCTCCCCAAATCCCCCCAGTACATAGTTGTATATATTTTTAGTTGTGGCTCCTTCTAGTTGTGGCACATGGGACGCCGCCTCAGCATAGCCTGAGGAGTGGTGCCATGTCCACACCCAGGATCCGAACCCGCGAAACCCTGGGATGCTGAAGCAGAGCCCGCGAACTTAACCACTAGGCCACGGGGCCAGCCTGGCCTCCTTTTCAAAGTTCTCTATTACTGTTGAGAATTTAGTCAGTATCCAAGCCCCACCCAGTCTTGCTCCATATCTCTCCTACCCAAAAATCTGCAATACTCACTTTTGCTCAGGACCAGCCTTCACTAAGCCACAGGCCAATCCTGAAGGTTGGCCTTACTTTCTCCTCCATCCATCTTCTGTAACATGCTCCCCAGGGCTGTGGGCTGTGGGCCTTTTGTGGCCTCTGGGTTCACTGTGGGCTGTTCTTGGGTACTGTCGCTCATCAATTGACTCCTTGTCCGCCCCTGTATGTACAAGAGGAGTGAGATGAAACCAGACCCCTTTTTCCTTGCTATCTTGACCTTTTCAGCCTCCACAAAATGAGACATCAGGGCCTGGTGAAGGTCATTTCAGAACAGAATTAGAAAGTAGGAGAGAGAAGAGTTCAAGATCTGCAGCTCTGTTTTGGATTTTCACTTACTCACCCAAGGGATGGTAAGACCTTAAGGGTCTTAAGCTTTTAGACAGAGAAAGTCCTTGAATGCTCCTGCCTTTCCTGCCTTCAGGTTTGTATTACCACCTCAAATGGATTGCTTCTTTTGATTCTTTCAGCTGCCCCTACTCCTCCAGTGAAAGGGACCTCATTGTCTGAGCCTTTCTTCCTTCCCACCCATACCATACACTGTCCAATCAAGTAAGGCCACAGGCTTGGCTGCACAGGCAAAAACTTCCCTGCCCAGGCTCTCACACTTGTGAGTGCTTATGTGTAGGTAGGGAAGATGGACGGACAGACTGTGGGTCCTCCAATTCATGTTTTTTATTCAGTATTCTCTCCAGGGCAACCATGAGCTGGTGGTTCCTTTGCTGATTAACCCACATGTTAAGGACACACACAGGCACACACATTCACGTAGATTGTACTGGATACTGCAAAACTCGTAGATTGAGAATAGAATATAGCCACAATATTAGTAAGGCTTATGCCCTGGCTGGAAAAGAAATAGGTCTGTAAAGAATTATTTAACATCTTTATTGGTTTTTTCAAGATCCACAAAAGAGCTGGACCACCTCTTAATGACTTTCTCTCCATTTCACAGTGGTGACACAGCACACACTGTTTGTTTCAGAATCTGCCTCAGAGAAATACGGGGATGACAGTAGGAATAAGTTCAGCAGCTTCTTTCTAGGGTTGCCAAATTTAGCAAATAAAAATATAGGATGCCCAGTTAAACTGGAATTTCAGAGAAATCGTGAATACTGTTGTAGTGTAAGTATGTACACCTCATTTGATATTTAGGCTATACTAAAAAATTATTTGGTATTTATCTAGAATTCAAATTTATCTAGGCATCCTGCGTTTTATCTGGCAATGCTGCTCCTCCCATATCTCCTCATTCATGTCTAGTCTCACTGCTACCATCTGAGGCTAGGGTGTCTCGTGACCTCGAGCCTTGTCTGTACTTCCTTGGATGGCTTTCCCAACACTACTCTCCTCTCATCTACCTCATAGCCTGCAACACACTAAATTTTTTAGATGCTAAATTCATCAAGTTTCTCTTCCACACAAGAAATTACAATGACTCCTATTGCTTTCCAAAGTGATTTTCAATCAGTGTGAAATTGTATACCAAGTATTGTGTGTGTGTGTGGTGTATATGCATTTTCCTTGGCGAAACTTTTTTTTTAAAATCAGAATCTTGAGGTATCTTCAAGATAAACTTCAAGACACAAACTGTGGCTTACACAAAGAAACAAAAGTGAGTGAATATAGAAAAATGCACCTCGCCTCAATCATAACTTTTGCTGTTTAGACATCAGTAGTTTGAAAGTCCCCTCATTGTGTCCTTCAACTCCCACCAACATCTTGCAGAATAGGCAGGGCAGGTATTAGTACTTTCATTTCAAAGATAAGGTAACCAAACCCCAGAGACAGATTGTTAAGTCTTACACAGCTGTTACATGGCATAGCCCAGGTCTGAATAGAAATCTGCCAACTGTAAGTTTATTTCTCTCTCAACTTTTATGTCCACCAGCTTTAAAAAATATAAAATCAACATTTGCACAATACTTGAAACAACAGCTTTAAAACCCCTGTGTATCTATTTGAGCCTCACAGAGGTTCCTCTCCATCTCTGAAGAGATGTCCTATTCCCCTCTGTCTGGTGGACCTTGTCACTTAGCTGTCCTTTATACACCACAAAGATTGGGTCTTTGGCCATTTGACTTCTAAGAATGGCTTTTCCGTGTGGTCACAATGAAACTGACTTCCAACTTAACATGCCCAAAACTGAGCTGCTAATATACTCCCCACCAGCTCCTCCAAAGTCATCCCTGTCTCAGGAAATGGCAATTCGGTGACCCTCAGGCAAAAAAAAAGAAAAAAGTATAGAGACATTCTTCTTTCTTTCCCGCCCCTGCATTTGGGCTGTCAGCAGAGCTTGTGGGCCCCTCCTTCCAATTATATCAGCAATTTGATCACTTTTCACCACCTCCACTGCTTCCTCCCTGCTGCAGATCACGATTCTCTCTCACCTGGCTTGCTTCGAGAACCTCCTCACTGCTCTCCCCTTCTGTCTCTTCACTCCTTAACACACAGCCCAAGTGATCCTGTTAAAATGTAAGATCATGTCACTCTTCTGCCTAAAACTCTATCATAGCTTCCCATCTCATTCACAATAAAAGCCAAAGTCCTTATCATGACCCATAATAAGACCCTACGTGATTGCCTCTCCGGCCACATCTTCTAATGCTCCCCCTGTGGCCCCTTTACATTCTCTTCCCCCATCCCCACCTCCGGGATGGTCCTCCTGCTGGGGTGGTCCTCCTACAAGGGTGGTTCTAGGGGGCGGCTGCCTCTGCTTTGGGTGTGGCCTTTTCACTTGCTGTCCCTCTGCTCCCAGATATAGGCTGGCTTCCTACTTTCTTTCAAGTCTTTAATGTTACTTCCCCAACTCTTAGCAACCTTCTCTGCCTTATTTTTCTTACTAGCAGTTATCACTCTAACATACTACATATTTTACTGGTTTATCTTGCTTATTGTCTATCCAGCACATAGTAAGCATTCAGTAAATATTTCTTGAATGAATGAATGCAACGATGATTTTCCTGTGTTGAAGATATTTTTTAAATTGTATATTTTGATGGAAATTCTAAAAGTGGTTTTCACAAAATAATTTGAATAATCATTCATATATGTGTGTAGCCTTTTAGTACGATTACTTTGAGGAAGTTAAAACTTAAAAAACATATTTGAAATCAGTTACTATTAATAACACTGGGTATAAATATAAAAAGGTAAATTTGAAGAAAATATGTGTAGAAAGGATTACTAAATCTGAACAAACTTCCTTAACAGGTGATCCTGAATACAAATGTGGGACTCTGAGCTGTGAAGAGAAACTGAGTCATTTCAAATACAGGGAATCATATCAGATAAGGCTTAAAGGCAAAGAGTGACTCTCAGGTGATTGAAGGTTGGTAAGAAATGATAAAAAGTTAATGTTAGTACTATATTAATATTTATTAAGGACTTATCCTTTGCTAGCATGGGGCTAAATGCTAAGTATCATGAGTGCTAGGTACCTTTATTTTTCCGTTTTATGGAGAATATCAAGGCTTAGAGTGGTAAGTAACTTGCCCATTGTCCCACAAGCTTTAAGGGTAGAGGCCATGCTTGAATCTAGATCCGTCTGACGCCAAAGCCCAAGTCCTGACCGCCGAGTGCAGTTGTTTCTTATGAGACGCGGCGGTCCCGGCAGCTTGCAGGGCGATAATGAGGCGGAGGTAAAACTACTGCAGGAAATCCTGTAAGGAGGCACCATTTTGGAGAGCAGCACACCATTTCCCAGGGAGCCTGACACAGCCAGGGGCTCCTCTTCTAGCTCCAGATCAGATTGTAGCCACTTTGGATGAACAACAAATGAAGGAGCTGGTTTGCAGTTGGGAAGAAAGTGTGTGAAAAAGACATGCCTTTAAACACTGGACACACACACCATGGGGTCAGATGCTTCGCCATAAGAAGCACCTGGGACCAGAGCCTGAGTGAAGGAGGAGGATCAAGTCTCTCACTAGAACTTTCCTGCCGCCCTTCAAAACTTCCTTGTCTCCCTTCCAACTTCTCTGTCTCCGTCTCTGTCTCTCTCTTTGTGTGTATCCAGTTGGTTTTGCATACACCACTTTGTGGGATACAATCTTGCCAAAAGCCAAGCAGCTTTGCTGGTCCAGAGAGGATTCGTTAACTGCTCCGCAACATCTAAAATCTCGCTGTAAATATTTATTACTTGTTGTAGCATATCCACAGCCAAAGCCAGTAGAATCAGGCAGCCCATTAATCATGGGAATACATACTTCAAGTCTCTCCAGGATCAGTCAACAAAAGGGATGGCTTCAACGGTGAATATTAAAAAATGCCGTTTGAGATTCATGGAAGGAAGGAAAATGCTCGCTTTAATTCAGCTTGCTGTTTTTGTTTGGGGGTCTCACCTGATGTCTTGGTGGCGCCTTGTCATCTTAGTGCTTTTGGTGACTGGGGCCTGGAAGGGTGTCATGGAAACAAATCCTTTTTCAGAATCTGAGAGAAAATGTCAGGTATCCCTCTCAGCCTGTCAGCATTGACTCTGTGTCCCTCATGTTGTTGAGAATAGTTCTCAACTCTGTTCTCCCCCAGCACGTTGAGGCACCGGCACGCCTTCATCAGTATAAAACAGGATTCTCAGCAGGGTTTGTGACCACATTCTATTCCCAGGATAGGAAAGCGGAATTTGGGGAGTTTGGATTGAGTGTAGTTGGAAAAGCTTTCTTCTGGAGAGTGTGTGATACCCTTCTACGAAGTAATTCCTTACTCTCTAATTGATCATTCTTGGTTTAGAACAATGACGCTCAATAAGTGTTCATGAATCTAAGTGCTAACTTCCTGTTTCTCACCCTGCCTGGGGCTTTCGAGTAGGATCTAGTCCTGACGTGCCCATGCTCTTGTTTGCAGTTGTTGGCATCCACCCAAGATGCTCCTTGGTGTATGTGGATGGGGGCTGTCCCAAAACTTCGTGTAGTGGCTCAGGGGATTTTAGTAAAGAGCAGAGGATAGTATGTGAGAAAGATCAAGCTTGAATGTCTGTCGCTTACAGACTCCCGTTAAAAGAGGCTGCCCCAACCACAGCCCCCTAAGAAGGTAGCAACGCTGTTTGTTTCTTTAGCATAGGTGACCACGTGGTGTAGATGGGAGCCTTTCGTCTCAGCCATGGCTGAAGGAGTAGGAGAGGACACCTGTCTCAGAGGTAGCCAATCTTTAGACCGCTCAGTGTCTTATGAGACAGCCTCATACAAGAATTTTCCCCAAGAGGGACTAGGGTAATAGAATCATGCTCCCCTCTGGGGCATTTGATTATGAGCTATAGAGAGAGCATTGGCAGCTGGTAGTGGGAGCAGAAGTGGAAAGAGCTGTAATTGTGCAACCTGAATTATTGCTGTGTTTTGAAGACACTTCATAAGGAGCTAAGGAAGTGGTGTGCTGGGACTGGCTCTTAGGGCCTGAAAGCTGGTGGTGTGCATCTCTTCCCAGCTCCGCCTTCAGAGACTCCAGTTGGTGGGAGTATTGAGACCACAAAAATTGGTTTTTGCTACAATTCAGGTCTCCCTCCTCCAGGTACGGTTGTTAAACGTTACTATCACCCCACTGGGCTGGAGGAGAGGGATGTAGATAGGAAGAGAGGCAGCAGTGACCCCCTCTGGGGCCTCTGTCTTAAGAACAAACAAACAATGTTTAAGGTAATACGTTAACATGATTGTTACTAAGATTATAATAAAGAAGTAAGAGAAAACATTGTGAAATATATGATTTAAATATCATTGGTTAAACTACAAGACTCAGAGGAACGTGGTCAGAGGGGAGTACCTTTCCTGTGCTGAGTAACTTTCAGAGGCACGGGCCCCACCCCGGCCCACAAAGGAGGACCTGACAAGCCGGTTAAGTCTCTGGCCCTATTTCCACAGGGATTCTTTACCCCTATTCCTTGAGGTAACCCGAGTGCACACAGTTACTTAAAACCACAAGAGCCCAATGAATACAGTTTTTGAGGGCCCTTTTCTTTTTCAGTGTAGAGAAAATGGGACAGATTAGCACAGTAAAAAGAATATATATAGAGGTTGAAATGAGGTTTGAATTCCCATACTACTTCACCCCTTCCTGGTAGCCTAATTTACTTAGCTATGCCTCAGGCTCCTTAGCCGTAACAGAGGGAGAAAAATACGCTCAGAGGTATTTGTAACGATTGAATGAAATACCACGTGTGGAACATCTAGCATGGTGTCTGGCACTTGCTAGCACTCAGCGGCTGTAGTTCTTTGCCCCCCTCTGCCATACTTATTTAAGCCTTTAGACCAGCTGCTGGTGTTGCTGACTGTGAAGTCAGCAGACTTGATGCAATTGATTAACTCTCCACTTATAGTAACGTGAATTAGGTTGTAATGATATTGCATTTTTTTTTCCCTGAGGACGACCAGCTCTGAGCTAACATCTGCTGCCAATCCTCCTCTTTTTGCTGAGGAAGACTGGCCCTGAGCTAACATCTGTGCTCATCTTCCTCTACTTTATATATGGGGCGCCTGCCACAGCATGGCTTGACAAGCGGTGAGTAGGTCAGCGCCCGGGATCTTGGCTGGCCACCCTAGGCTGCCAAAGCGGAGTGTGTGAACTTGACCTCTGCGCCACCAGGCCACCGATATTGCCTTCTTTATAATTTTATGTTTTTGTCCTTAAGGTCAACTAAAATATTTTAAATATAGCTATCATTATTATAATCCTTTGAAACAAGCTTTTCTCTAGACTTAGGGAGCTCCCATATCTCACTCCACAAACGACTATGCTCATTTTACTTTTGTTTTTAAACAAATATTTAGATTATGGGCAAAGAATTATGCTAGGTGTTGTGGGGGAAGTAAGGAAAATGGATTCTTACGTAATACACGGTGAAATACACAACAAAGAGGGATGGGAGGGAAGAGCTTCCTGAGTATTCTCTTCACCCACCCGGCTTCTAGGCACCTAAGCTGAATAATAAGGTGGTGTGTCTTTTGAGTCTTTTATTTACTATGTTCGTTTCTTCACCGTTAGTTTACTTCGGTCATCTGCCCTTCATCCCATTATCACTGCTGGTACAGGAAGGGGCAGATTCACCCATTTGCCAGGAGTAAACCACCGGCCGTGGTGCTGCTCAGACCAGATGACTAAAGGAGAGCCCCTTGCACATGGACTGGTTTTGGGCAGATGGGCCTTAATACTTTGCCAGAATTGAAATAAAGTTTCTGATTTTCAAACAAATACTGTGATGTAGAAATTACCATACTTGAGTTCATGTTAGAATAATCCACGCTCTAAATCTGTTTGACATTTACCCCTTAAGTATTTTGCATCAATAAATCATTTCTGTAGCATCTTAAAATGTTCCTAAGTAATTACATAACATTCTACGTCCCCAGGGCCTGTCCCATTAGTGTGAGTAAAAAAAAATAATAAATTGCAGTAATTAAGACATAATTATGTTGTCTTGAAAAGCTAAGGGTCATTTGGACTTGATTACTCCAGTGGTTATCAGTGCCAAAGGAAAGTCAGGGAACTACGCTCCTGCCTGCAATTAGCCATCTGGGACTGACACTTTGGTCGTCAGAGGCAGCACCTTTGGAATAAACTTCAACACTGCCCTTTAGACAAGCTACAGCAAATAAGAGACCAGTGTAAGGGAGGTGAAGAGAGGGTGAAGGTGGAAGGAACAGCAGCCTAAACATCAGCGTTTGGCTGGGGTGAAAAACTCTCGTCACTCAGGCCGCCTCAGGTCCATATATGGTGTTCAAATGGAGGCTTGGGAAGAGCCTCTTGTAATTTTGGCTAAGAACACCCACACAGTCACCTGGTTGGAGGGCCCACTCACCTGGAATGCAGGGGGTGGTCTTACGTATTATAACGCCCGTTCGTTGTGTAGAGGACCGCTCCCCTGAGCGTGTGCCTAGCTGGCAGCGCCGCTCCAGCTTCACCCTCCCACACTTAGAGAAGTAATTGCCAGACCTTTTTATCCCCTCACTACCAAAGCTCTCAAGTCTTTAGGGGCGGCGCACGAGTCTCCTCAAACCCCTTAAACGTCCTCCCACGGGTCTCCGGCTCGCCGTCCGGTCTCCTCGTCCTGGTTTCTCTCTTTCCTGCTGCTTCAGGGGTCTCGAGGGGACCCGTGGGTGGGATGCTCGGCTCTGCTCTGGGGCCCCAGCATTGGAGAGATGCCCCGCGGCAGAGGGGTTCCAGCCCCCGGTGGCGCGCGGCGGCCGGCGGCCCCGGGGCGGCTGTGGAGGAGGCTGCGGAGGAGGATCCGGAGGAGGCTGCGGAGGAGGAGGGAGTTGGCGGCTCCGAGGCCCGGGCAGCCGGCCCCGTCCGCGGCGGGCGCTCGGCGGTCCTCCCTCGCTCGGCTCCTTTGCTCATATTTGGACTCGGCTGCCCGTGCCCAGGAATTTCCCGTCATGCCTCCCGCCGCCCCGTCCGTCGCCCGAGCCGGGAGGGAGGGAGGCGGAGGCTCGGCCAGCGGCGGCGGCGGCCCTCCATGCGCCCGCGGCGGACCCTCCCGCGCCCCCTCTCGCTCCGCCTCGGCCTGGCTCTCGGCCTCGGCCTCTGCCTGGCCGCGGCGCGGGGAGCCGCGCACTCGGGTAAGTTTGGGCTCCCGCCCGCCTCGCCTCCGCCGCCTCCCCCGCCCGCCCTGCCAGGTTGAGGGTGACCCCGACCCCGGATGCCCCGAGCGCCGCCGCGCCCGCCGGCCGCCCGCGGGACACCCCTTCCCGGGCCTAGGAGGGGCGCGCGGGGGAGCGCCCCGCGCGGGCCTGGGGGGCGGGCTGGCTCGCCCCCGCCGACGGGAGCGTCTGGCCGCCTGGCTGACACCTTATCCCGCCCCGGAGGAACCTGAGCCCGGGAGGCATCGCCGGCGCGGGCCCCGAGGGAGGGGCCTGGCGGGGCGGCCGCGGCGGCCGGAGGGGACACCGCCCGGCTCGGGGGACGCGGGGCCCCCGGAGCTCCCGCCCCGCGCAGCTCGGCCCCGCCGAGTGGCCGCTCGGATAACGGGCCGGCGCGTGGGAATCGCCGCCAGGCCCGCGCCGCGCCGCGCCGCGCGTCCCGCAGGGCGCACCCGGAGCGCACCCGGAGGCCCTCCCGGCGGCGCGGCCCCGCCCGGGCTCAGGCTCCCGCGGCCCGGCTGGCGTTTAATAGGCCAAAAGCGAGCGGAACCCGAGTGTGCCAGGTACCAGTTTTCTTTTGTTTTTAAGCGGAGAAAAGCATCCCAGTCTGTTTTCCAAGTTTTACACTGGACTATTTCAAGTCAGACTGTGTGACGGAAAGATGCCATTCCTGCCGCCTTTGGTTTAGGACCGTAAGCTATCAGGGTGGTAATTTTGAAGTCTTAAGAGGATGATTTGAAAGATAGTTTTCGTTAGATCATGTGGAAAATATCAGTGAGGATTTTTTTTTTTTTTACATAAGGTCATTATAAAAAGAAACTATTGAAAGTACAAATGTCGAGTTTAAGGTAAATGTGAAATTTTATGAACTTTTATCTTTGCGGTGAGTATTTCACGAGTCATCTAAAGCCTCGCAATTCTTAGTTTTATCCGGAATGGAAAAACAAAAGTTATAATTCCTCAGAGTTGACGTTTCTTATGAAATTTTGTTTCTGCCCCCTATAGACTAAACTGTCAAAATAAGATAGGGTTAACAGCTAGGATTTACAAATTAGCTGGAAGCTGACTCTATTAAGCATAGATTATACTCAGCACCCTCTAATCTATCTCTTCATATTTCCCTTTGCAGCACTGGTGGCAAAATAGACTTTAAAAGACAGTTTTGTCCATAAAAAAATGTTTGGGATTCATGTAACTTATTAAAATTGTCAATTCAGTTTGTTGGGAGATTTTTTTTTTTAAGATTTTGTTTTTCCTTTTTCTCCCCAAATCCCCCCAGTACATAGCTGTGTATTTTTAGTTGTGAGTCCCTCTAGTTGTGGCATGTGGGATGCCGCCTCAGCATGGCTTGATGAGTGGTGCCATGTCGGCGCCCAGGACCTGAGCTGGTGAGACCCTGCGCCGCCCAAGCAGAGCGCCCGAATTTAACCACTCGGCCACCAGACCGGCCCCTGGGAGATTTTTAAAGATACTTAAATGTGCAGTGTATAAACACTAAGTAATCATATCAATTTCATGTTTGTTTCTGATTAATATTGTTTTTTTAGAAGACCTGCTTTTTGTGGATTCATGCTTTAGAACTAACTTTAATGGTACTTCTTGGGAAAGCAATAGGTTCTAACTTAACGTTTTCTCAATGATCTGAAAAATACTGTGCTGCACGATAAAGGGTGGATTGTACAGCCAGGGCATACATGTATGTTTTCTTTTTTCCCTCGGTGATGTGTTGACTTACCTAATACTTGTGGTAAAGCAGACCTTGAAGACCAAAATCCAGGGTACTGTGGCCCCTTGCCAGCAATTTTGAACATCAAGTTTATATTTGGACCATTTAAACATTTATTCTTTTAATTTTGGTCCCAGCTGACATATAAGTCTAATTTCTGGTGACTTTTATTAGGGCCCTATGTGAATGTCTGGAATTTTTTATATTGAAATAAGTAGCTCCCTGCCATTTGGAACTTTGTCACAGTGCCTGAACTGCCTGTCTGCCAAGGTTGCACATATACAACATCATTTAGTTTTTGAATCAACACATGGTTTTTTTGGCTTTTAAAGGTGGTTGTTCTAGTATCTGAACTAAAATGTTAACCTATCAGGTCAGAAATCTTTATTGTTTTGCTGAACTCAAGTACCGAGAATATCCAAAAAATATCCCGAGAAGCTTTCATAGGTTTTTCTAATGCATTTATCCTTTTTAAATTAAAAATAAATTTTCAGCCATTAAAGAGCAACTTTAGGAAATAATGCTTTTTGGTTCTATCATAATCCGGTCACAGTCCCTTTGATTTTGTCTCACCTGTGTTACTGATTGTAGTTAGGGATTTGGTTGATGAATTTGGTTCAGATGTTTGGCTTCCTTCTCTGAAAATGATGAAGTCAAACATAGTCACCATGTCCCTTCTAACTCCGGGATCCTGTAATACTGTTTTTGTTTCTGTGGTCCTGCAGAGCCACCCACGACATTGGTTCCAGCTTCTGACTGTCGACTCTGACTTGCTATGCGTGTTCAACTGGTCTCCTTGTAGTCAGGTCTGATGGGTGTGGATCCAGCTTTGGGGGCCTGGATCTGCCTCAGGAGCGTCTTGCACATGCACACAGACACCCACGCCTGGACAGAGTTCCATGATGTTAAGCTTCTGTTATTTTCTTCCCCTCATCTAATAGGAGAAAGTGCTGGTTATGACCTGGGGTAAATGCCTAACTGCTCTTCAGGAACAGTTTAGCCCAGGCCGGGAGACGGTTTGACATTCAGTTTTGAAATTTGGGTCCCAGTTAGGGGCACCACTGGAGAGCACCCAAACCTTTCTGGGGTTGGGAGGCCTAGGGCTGGTTATTTGGGGGCGTTCCAGATGAAATGCCTTATATTGGGTTATCGCCTTTTCATCATATCTCCAAGGAGATTGACTTGGGCCTACCCATCTGGTTTATCCAGAAGTACATTGGCTTTGGATAGGAGGGTGATCAGATAGCTATTTAATTTGACAGTTGTTTGTTAGCATCTCTGACTGCCGTACAGATATCTCAGGGCTTTATCTTGAATATTCCTATATTTTCTCCTTCCTGGGCATGATGGGTTTTCCTTTTAAAATGCTCAGCACCATCCTCCATCCCTGTTCGCATATTTATCTCTATGGCATACCAAAGTCATATTTATGGCTTTTAAGGAAATACAAATAAAGACAAAAGAAACCGTAGAAAAGATAGGCCAGCGATAAATCAACCAATTGACTTTATGGAGGACTTTGGTTATTGCCTCATTTAAGCTTCTGTAGCAAGTAACAGAAATGAACTTGAAATAGTTTTAGGAAAAAGAAAGAAAGAAAGGAATTTGATGGAAGCCAAATGCAGACAGACCTTATTAGGGACCAGGGACTGGAAAACCTGGAACTTTCCCCGACTGTGGTCTTTGCCTTTCTTTGCTTCATTGTTCTCTCTTTGCTGACCATTTTTTTCTGCTTTCCTGTGTTCAGGATTGAATGTGGCTGCTCAGCAGCTCCTGAATATTTACATGTCCCTGGGTTCCAAGCCCAGGGAGAGACTAGATCATTGAGCCTTGATCCTGACTTCCTGAAAGAACCTGATACACATAGTTGGGATCACATGGTTGACCTAGATTTTCCCAAGGTCTCTTCGGATTCTAGAGTTCCTTGTGTATGGAGTGCAGATGTTTACGTGGTTTGATTTTGCATTTTTGCATTTTATATTATGGGGTTCTTAGTCCTTAAAATGTATAATTTGCTCTTGATTGCAGTGTGTGTGTGAAAGAGTGTGATCCAGTGGGATCCCGGGATGTTGGTGCAGCTCCTTCCTGCTGCTGCAGGAGACTGAAAGAGAAGCCCGTGGGCCGTAAACTGACTGGAGCGCCAGATTCAGGAACTAGAACGCAATTTGGGATCCAACTGAGTTGTGAAAATCCTGTTTAATAACAGCTAATTCATCCTGCAGATATCATCTGCGTATTTTCAGGAATTCACTGAATTCAAATGCTGAGTTCAAATACCACTTACAGGTATAGTCATTAAAACTAAGTGATAATTAGAGACATTCAAAATAGTAATGATTTAGGGACCAAGAGTTCATCAGTTATTTTCCTATTTCTCACACTTGTCTAGCATTTTCCGCCCTGTCCTTCTTTTAGACAGTCTCTGCTGCCTGGAATACTTTTCCCTCATAACCTGTTGACGTCCTTAAGGCCTCTGTTGCATGGTATTTGTCAAACTGTCTTCATCTCTTAGAATTTGTCATTTCCTTGTGCTTCTAAGACATCAGTTAGAGCACGATTTTACCATCTTGCATTGTAAAGACCATACCTACTCATCTTCTTCAGTGGACTTTAAGTTCTGTTAGACCAATGAATCATCTAGAAGAATTGTGATAGGCTGTTAGAATCCGTTGCTCAACTTAATGTTTCCACCTTTTCCAAATGTTCTGAAGCTCTTAGGGCGTCCTGCTTGTTGCCACCTTTTTATTTTATTTGCTGAGGAAGATTTTCCCTGAGCTAACATCTGTTGCCAATCTTCCTCTTTGTTTTGCTTGAGGAAGATTCGCCCTGAGCTAATAATATCTGTGCCAGTCTTCTTCTAATTTGTATGTGGGTCGCTGCCACAGCATGGCCGCTGACAAGTGGTGTAGGTCTGTGCCTGGGAACTGAACCCAGGCCAATGAAGCAGAGCGTGGCAAACTTAACCCCGTAGGCCATGGGGCTGGCCCTGCCACCTTCTTCTTTTGACATTGGAGCTCAATCACAAAAAATCAAAAGGAAGTTTTTCTTCTCAGTCCTTATCTGTTTTCTAGATTTTATAGGCTTTTCCATGAATATTCTAATTTCCTGTGTGAGGATTGAATATATAGAATGGTAGGATGTTTTCCTATAAACTGAGGTGCCAGGGGGAAGGAGAGTATAGCAAACTCATGTGGAAGGAAATCACCCAACATTTACCAGATTGGATAGAGAGGGCAGGTGTGGAAAAACAGTT